TTATTAGTGTGTGCATTCAGCCAGAGTCTTATCATTCCACCTCCTACTTTCATTCCTCAGCAGTATTTCTGCTCTTCCTAAATCCAACCCTAACATCCCAATGCAAATGCTGAGCAATGCCCAGACTGAAACAGTTCTTATCAAGATCCAGAAATTCTCTAGAAGTACTCCCCAGAGGCAGATACCATAGGGGTGAACCTTTAAGCATGTCTAGAGGGAAATTCTACTTTAAGGTGCAACTAGGAAGGTTAGGCAAAAATTCCATGTTACAATATATCATACAAAAAATACTATCTATTTTGATTGTCCGCTGTGTGCCAGGTACTATCTTTTCATGAGCAGGAACAGTCACACGAGCACTGCTATTAGTTGAAGAAGTTGTTGTGTACAGTCAAGTTGAAACTGACTCATACTCAGCTGACTCTCCAGCAGTTTTAAGAGGCAGTAAATCTCATGGTAGGAGACGGCTGATCTTTCTCCTGCACAGCAGCTTGTGCCTTTGAGACTGCAGCACAGCTCCTAACTACAAGTCCCACAGAACTCCCTCTGTTTAAGACGAGTACTCTGATTAACCATCGACTCTACTCTGGTGTAGTGTTGGTGCTTTGGGATAAATGTCAAGGTGGCATACATATATATAAAAAGAACCATTTAGATATCAAATCCATGTTACCTTTCTGTAATGGCTGAAGTAAAAGAAGAATAATTTGGATATCTGTTTTCCAGAAGGTTCTTCAATCAGTTCAAACAAACCCAACAATAATTCCTTTGGATTACACAACTATAACAATATTCACAATTGAACCTGTTTAATACAAGTTGTATTTAAAGCCACATGATTACTATTTTTAAAAGAAAGTACATACTGAGAAATACATTTTTGCTTTATACTAAAATACCTCATAGAATCATAAAAAAGAATGCACAGCAAAATATAATGTGATTAACAAGAAGTCAGAATCTCTTAATAGCAACTACAATGTGGAGGCTAAAGTCAGGGAAAGGAAAGCCTGGACATGGAGTCGAGGTTTCCTCTCATCACCTGTGTCTGGTGATGTCGTTCATAGGGAGCTGCACTAACTCAAAGGCCTTGCTTCTCAAATCCACCAGCTGCTTTGTGGGGAAAAGATGGCAGTCTCTCCCTGTGCCATTTAGTCTTAGAAGCCTGCTGGACAGTCAGCTATAAGTCAGCTCCAACTCAATGGCAGTGAGTGACCGCTATGAAGCTGCTATAGATTTCCACAGTGTCCAGCAGGTGGGTCCTTTGCATTCCACACCATTTGCAAAGGTATCTAGGATTAGTACAGGAGCCTCTGAAGTACTTCCTGGAAAGAGAACATTTTGCAGTCTTCTGACTATGTGACTAGCCACATGATTACTGTTCACCTTGTTTTTTAAGAGGGCACTCTGCTGCGAACTCAGTAGTGGATGGTTCAAATCCACAAGCTGCTAGGAAAAAATGGGTAATCTTATAGCCTCTGAAAACCTTCTGGAGGGTCAGATATGAGTTAGTTACAACTCAGCAAGGAGTCTGAGTTTTGAATTCATAATTAATGTCTAGACTGAGCACCTTCTATAAAGTATGTATTTTATTTGCCCTGCTCTCTCAGTAGCTTAAAAAAAAATCTGATAACCTGGCCTTTTTATTCTTAGAAATGGTCCATACCAGTATTTTAAAAGGAATATATAATTCGGTTTCTATATAATTTCCCAAAAGAGTATGAAACATACTAAAAAGTGACATAATAGATTAAAATAAATCAGCCCACTCACAAGAAACACTCCTGGATAATGATGGTTTGGTTGCTGAGAATATTCAGAACATTATTTCCAACTGGTAAAATTCACAGCAATCTAAGAAATGAGAATTCAAAAGTGACAGCTGGACTTTGCTGGGAGATCTGCAAGGACAGCAGAGGCATTTCCAGGCCAGGGCTTGTGACCCAGCCTTCCTGTCTGCTACCACTGCAGGTACCAACTACAGTTCCCAGAGGTCTGTGGGGAAACGCCATCTTTGTAAACTCGGACTTTGCTGGGAGATCTGCAAGGATAGCAGAGGCAGTTCCAGGCCGGGGCTGGTGACCCAAACACCCCACACCCATTTGGGCCCTCCAGGAAGACAATCATATTTGCCACATCTATAAGATTTATCAACCTCCCCTAAAATATTCATGTACCATTGAGGATTAAGTTACGTGGGGAATCAAACTGGTTTCTAGCCTGAGTACATAGGGCCCACTAACTCAAACAACAGGGAGATCCTGAGCATCTCCAAAGAGTGGGGAAGCTATTCCAGAAAGGGAACAACAGACTTCCTCCTTCATTACTTAGGTTCTCCTGAGGCCCTCCCCACGTGTATCAGTGTGCGCTTCCTCCCTCCCAACTCACATGAGCATTGGAATGTGCACGCACCCTCTACGCATTTACTCTTGTTTCTGCCCAACCTTCTTCTGGAGCAGTGACGTCAAATAAAAAACCAGTTACCACCTCAGACATGAAGAACTCTGCCATGCCAATGGCCCGTAGAAAGCAGAGTGCTTCACTTGTCCCACCAGCCCAAAGCAAGATATCAACCCCCAAAGAAGACACAGTAGCAACGGATTTCCTGGAGCCAGAAAGCCTGATGGATCTTTCTGATAGTGATTTTAAAAGAACAATGATTGAATATTTTCAATGGATAAAAAAGAAACTGGAT